TCAATTCCAAAATGCCTGAGAGGCCTCTGGTAATATTAATGTGACTATTAGTCATAAAGCTTGTTCAAGGAATATATTTTTAACTACAGGCGAGTGAATTTCAAGTTTACATCAAACAAAGTTGCTAAGATATTGAAAAGTAGGATCTATAAATGTACAATGAGGGAAGACAATATGGTTTTTGTAGAAGAGACTGTAAGTACATGTACAGTTTATATTAGAATTTCATAGAAAAATAAGTCATCATGAAGGAGAGTTAAAGCTGTGGAATTATGTCTCAACTTTAAAAAAATGACTTTTCTAAGCTCTTACCTCCTAGCAATTTTATATGAGAGGAAGCCTAAATTGGAGAAGGTAGGGATGAATAAGCACCCACTTTAACAAAAGCAAAAAGATTCTATGCATTATTATATGAACTAGATAGGAAGAGGGATAAAAGATTTCTGTAATGTACTATTAAACCATTAACGAAAGAAAGTGAAGAGAATACAAATAAATGGAAAGATATCCAATTCTTGTATTAGAAGAATTAGTATTGCTAAAAAGTCCCAAATACCAAAAGTAATGTAGACATTTAATACAATCTCTATAAAAGTACCAATATTATACTTCACGGAAAGAGTAAAATACCTTAAAATTTGTTTGGAATCACAAAACACCTAGAACAGTCAAAGAAATCTGAAGACCAAGAAAAGGGTTAGGACATCACAGAATCAGACTTTGAAGTATAATACAAACTCCAGTTATCAAAACAGCATGGTACTGTATAAAAACAGACACAAAACAATAATCTAAAAATAAACCCATGAACCTAGAATCAAATGACTTTTAACAAAGGCTACAAGAACATATATTTGGGCAAAGACATGCTCTTTGATAACACTGCTAGAAAAACTGGATGTCCACATCTACAAGAATGAGACTAAATTCCCATCTCTCACCATGTAGAAAATCAATTTAAAATATTAAAAACATGAAATACAAAACTAGAAAAGTACCAGAAGAAACACTGAGAAAATACCCTATGATGTGGATGGGCCAGTGAGAAACTTCTTAGAAAAGAATGTAAAAGCACAGGCATCCCCCCCAAGAAAATAGAAAAATGGAATTACGTTAAACATTTTCAAAAGCTTCTGCCTAGCAAGTAAAAATGAAGAGGCAACATACAGAATGGGAGAAAATGTTCGCAAACTATGTATCTGAAAAGTTGTTAAGGGTTTAATATCTACAATACATAAAGAACTCAAAAGCAAAGTACTTATAACAATCAGTTAGATTTTATGTATGCAAGTCACACTATTTCCTCAAAGACAAAAAGTGGGAAGAGCTCAGTCCATGTCAAAAAGGGGAGGAGAGGAAAGGTGAGGAGAGGAGAAAGAAAGCTGTAAATTTGGCTTACTCTGAGGGAATATATTCAAGAAAAAGTAATTTATCTTTCCATACCTATTAACAGTAGTTGTCATTTGTGGATCAAAATGGCCATGCACCCTCAAGACCAGAGCTAAAGAATTACTACTGTCAAATGAAGAATGGAATACAATGCCTCATGTGTCCCTTTTGCAAAAGCTGTGTTTTGGCCACTCCTGAGTGGGAACCAGAGGCAGGATGAGAGAAAAATATTCAAGACTCAAGGAAAGAAAACTAAAATAGAAGAGATTGGTTAGGAGGAGCAGCTCACTGAAATGTAATTTTGAAATGGAAATTTGACAGTTCAAGAAGGCATCAACTGAAACATAAATGTGTAGATATTTGGAATTAGGATAGAATAAAGTAGACAGAGAACTGAGCACCAAGTTCTGAAATGCCACACCCAAGAGGATGTCAGCCTTACCAGAAAAAACAACATCAAGGACAAAAAAAAGATACCATCATGCTTAGAAATTGCAAACTTTGGAAAATTATCCCAAAATCTAGTCTTAGGACCCTAGAATATTAATTATGAAGAAAAGCGAAAGGAATTTTCTAGGATCTTGAACCAAGATGGATTATGAAAAGTGCAAATTTCCAATGATGAATGTCATTATACTGTATACCTTAAATGTACCAATAAAATTAATTTTAAAAATTAATAGAAGGCTTTCCTCTTCTCCTATAGCTTCATGAACTTAAAATCAGAATTCTGGTGGGTGTACAACTGCATTCTTGCACACAAATACCTTAAGGATGGCACAGTTATAAGCATATTATAATAAAGAATATTTCTCCTTGAGTACCATGCATTTGATCTTGTTTGGAAGAGAAGTTTCAGATGGGCCTACAATGGTCTATCTTAACAGTTTTTAGATATTGAGAAAGTGCTGAAACCACACTACATTCCTAATGGTGATAATCTGACAATCCATCCCTATGATAAATATTAAAGACCAGTCCTGATGTTTGCCCTCAAAAATTTGGGCTTGGAAAGGATGAAACTACGTTCTTATTCACTTCAGCCATATCAGATATAAAAGTAACTGCATCTCTTATTATTCAGGACTCCCTAGAATAATTTGTGGTATATAGTTCAAGGAAGGCCTCCAAACAGCCAGCTAAGAATACAATGTAATCCTTAAATACAGCCAAAATTTGCCATCAGAAGACCTGGAATTACGTCCTGAATAATCATAGCAAAGGGGTTTAACGTCACTCAGCATCTGTTGCCCTGTATGTGTCACAGGAAGACTAATAAACACTACCATACTGAGCTGCTGTGAGCATCAGCTAGAACGAAGTATTCAAAAACACTTTGAAACCCTAAAGTCATGTTGATCCCTGTAACATCCAGCCTGTGTGTTGTTTGAGGAATCTTGGGTCCCTTCTTAGAGAAGGCCAGATGGGGCCCTTTATTCAGATTCGTGCCTTGAAATCTACTATTTACATGAAATGAGTAGATCAGAGGTGGCCAAGCATGTGGAAAGCACCTCTCTCCCACTTTCATCACCTCGCAAACTTGTCCTCACCTTTCTTATTTCAGAGACCTTCTTTTGACTCTTGTTTGAGATTTTGGTGTATTGATGCTTTTACTGTTATTACAACTTCTGTCTTATACAGTGCCAAAAGAGAGGCACTACAATTCTGCCCACTGTATAACCAAGATGGCAAATTACAGCTTTTCATTTCATTACATTCCAAAGTGTAGCTCGTTAAAGAAGGGCTCTCAGATGCTTCTGAGAAGTGCAGCCTTCTCAGCCCTCCACTTGGGCTATTCTGAATTTCTCTGTTACCATCCTCACAATTAGACAGTTGTGCTACCTGTTCTCAGAGATAAGGAAAAAGCAAGCATGGTATCTATTCAAAATTAGTTTTTCTTATTTTAATCTCAATAGCTATATTAAAATGTATCAGTCTCAAGGGGGAAAAAAGTGAGGATTATTGAAATTTTTCCCTTGCCTTAGAGGATTATTTGCTGAGGATGATATATGTCTATACCTCAGGTATGTCAAAATACACACAGTGTGAATACCTTGTACTCTATTGATACCTGGTTAAATCTTCAGAAAACATCAAAATAGATGTTTTCCTAGACAATCCCATAAATTACATACAACTCAATAAATAACAGTACAATTTTCATCAAATTGCAATTATTATTCAAAACATATTTCTTACCAAAAAGCACATATAAGGAACTGCTCGGGTCAGTCACCAGTGCAGCAGGACAGGGTTTCCCTGTCCACATCGTCAGAAAGACCCAAGAAACTTGGGTTTGGGTTGAGTGTTGAAGAGAGACTTGAACTGAATTAGGAAGGAAGCTGAATTCCAGAGAGACACATTCCCGCTGAAGCACTGAATGTGGAGTTCGTATCTGTACTGGGGTGCTCCAGGAAAGATGGAATAAACTGGCCCCAAGGCACCGCTCTACTCCTAGAGCAATTTGTCATCAAAAGTCAAAATTAACCAGAGACTTTCCAGCATTTTCCTTCGCTCGTGTACACGTCTGCTGCCTTCAGGCCCGAGAGAGGTAGAACACGGTTTACCTCGAAATTCCCGGCACCGAGCTACCCAGCGCGCTCTGCAGTGACACAGGCAGCCGACGCTTCGCCCACTCTCTGCCCCTCCCCTTCGCCCCTGCTCTGGCAGTGGGACAGCTGACAAAGGACTCTACCAACTTCACGTCCCACAAACCTAACAACCCTTCCAAAGTTAGTTATGAGTCCTCTGAGCTGAGGGTCACCCCCACCGCAACCCAGCAGAGGACCGAACGGGGAGCCCCCGAGGCTGACCTGCGCCCCGCGCGCCCGGGGACAGAGCCGCTCTCACGTGGTGCTCGAGCAGCGCCGGGCTCCGACCTCAAGCCCCGCCCGGAGCGGAGGAGGGACCTGCCTAGGCGCCAGTGTGGAGAGAGGAAGGGAGAGACCGCGGCGGCCCCCGCCAGGCCGGCGAGAAGCCCGGGTCCGACTGGGGTTCCCCGGGTGTCCCCAGGAAGGAAGACTCAAGTGTGGGTGGGGTAGCAACTTGGAAAAACATGTTTCAGGGCGAACGCGTTGGACTCCCACCTAGAAATGAGTTCTTCCAAGGTGGTCCAAATGCCCATCCATCTGGAACGTCCTCTTGCAATTCCCGGCAAAACGGGGAGCAAGGTGTCCCGAAGTGGCGAGGCCATCCCCACCCGCCTTCTGGGCAGCGCTGCCATCCCGGTCTCGGACGCACGCGGGGAACCGAGCCCGGGGACGGAGGCGGCGTTGTCCCCGCTGGATGCCCAGCCCGCCGAGGCTGGGATTTCAAACCCCACCGCAGCGAGCTGTATTTATGACTTGTTTCGTTTCTGCTGGGGGAGGAGAAGGGGCAGAAACTCCAGGACGTTTATTCCAACTGGAGGACGGGCGCTTGGCACCAATGCCAGGCAGAGAACTCCAGTAACTCGGCCGGGGGGCTGCCCGTCGGGGGTCTGGAGGGGAAGCGGGGGCCGGAGGGAAAGGGGAAGGAGAGAGGAGGAGCGGCGAGGCAGGCGAGGAAACAGGTGAGCTCCCACCGCCACCCTCGGAAGCCCAGCGCCGGCTCCCAACTTGGAGAGGACTTACTGGCTTTGCACGGGTCTTTGTAATCGATAGACTCCGCCTTATCCTCTTCACTGCCATCCAAAGTGTAGTCATAATCGAGGCCAGCGCAGACCCACAGCTCCCCGCAGAAAACGGTGCCCAAGGCCACCAGGCACAGGAGCATCCTCGGCGAAAGCGCTTCCAGCCCCATCCTCCTCCCCCGGAGGATCGGGAGGGGACGGGACCGCGGGCGGGCGGCTGATGCGCGGGGCTGGGGC